TTTTGGCGGGGGCCGAACGCCGTCGGGTTCGGACCCCGTACGGGACCCTGAACGCCCGTACGTACGGAGGTCTGCCCGGGGACCTCCGTACGTACGGGCTGGTAACCCTGTATGGTTAATAAATAGAATCATTCGAATCTAGAAATATAACAAAAATCTAAAACTAATACTAGATAATTTTATGATTTCCATTAGTCAAATGTAAGTGACTATTTTTTCATTGAAAACAAAAAATTATCAGTGACTTTCTTTTTGTCTTTTCTTCATACAAAATTTTAATATAAATATAGTAATATACTATCTTCTTCTCTCAATATAAAAGAGAGCCCCAAGTCCTATCGCCAGTCGTGTCCCTCCCACACCTACCAGCTTGTCGCTACAGATCAGATTCTCTCCCTACAGATCCAACCTCCAGCTGGATGTATCACGGGCCCACTCTATGCAGTTTTGTCCCCCTGCCATTGACTTAGCAAATCCCTGGCTGATCCCCCCTTGGTCAGGCGTAGAGAGCCCACCTCCCTCCTATTTTAATGTACAGTACATCCCCCTACATACTAATCAGGAGGCAGGCTCAGTACTAATCCTTAACTGAGCTGCACTTTATCAACGTCCTCTCTACTAGTCCCTCCATCTCCTATACCCATCTCATAGCCAACCCTTGCTTGGTCCCTGGTGGGCCCCGAGGACCCTGATGACGGGTACGTTTAGACACTGCCTAGAGACGACCAACCAGCCAAGTGGTCCTAATCCATGAGACAAGCATCGACTCGCACCTGCTGGATATCGGGCAGACTAACTACTTGGATTACCCCAGGTAGTATTTCTACCGACGATGCGACTTCCCACCCACCCATGCGGTCTCCGCAGGTGACCCATGAGGCCACTGTATGTGAGTCAACTACTCCCCTCGAGCGGCGAACTACCCATTAAAGGACCGGAACTATTCAACCCCACCTACCACAATGTTCCTGTACCCCTTCCCCCCCTGACACACTCCTCCAACATGAGACAGCCTTACCCCGGTGGCTCAAGACGCACACGAGGGGGGACCACCCTTAGAAATAGTACCCTCTGTGCCACACCCTCCCTCTATGAGAACCCCCATCTAGCCGGGAGACACCAGCGGTACCCAGACACTGCGATAGTAGGCCCCCCAGGGGGAGTCAGGGAGTAGTAGTCTAGGGGTCCCAGGGCCTGCAGATCACGGGCACCATCTTGGATAGTGTTGGTTTAGCTGTCAGCCGTGACTGCGCTGTTGTCAGCATGCCGGAACCAAAGTTACATGTTGCGAAGCTGGTAAACATTTGCAGATCACATCTGCCACATGTCTGTCACACATCATTGTACGAGGAGTCACCTCATACTGGTGGCACATCATTGAGCAAGGAGTCACCTCATCCTGGTAGCGGTATAAAGAAGGCCACAAAGCAGACAAGGACTACCAAGAGTCTGAAAGTGCCAAGGACACCTGTGCCCACACACCTGGTTCATTTTCTACCTTGCTGACATTGTATTTGCCGTGCTGGTTACTCAGGGAGATTATAACTTGAGTGCCAACCATCATCTCGTTCTTTTCTGTACAGTATTTTCCTTTTAGTAGGCTTTTGAACTTTACTGGGTTTCGTTCTCTGAAAACCAATTCGCAGATTGTGATCTGTCTCTGTTTCCCTGGGTGCCTCCACTGAGGTTTGCGAGGGACTTGCAATGCGATGTTCAGCGGGACGCATCCTTGTGGCTGAATGGCATGCGGATGTGACTGTTGACGAACCGATCATGAGTTGAAATCCTGCCGGATACAACCATGTTAGGGGCTGTTCCTCCCCCCTTTTTTCGATTAAAAAAAACATAGCCTGCTGGTCATTGCCTATCTGATAACTTAGCCATCAGCCAGTGCCAATTGACACTCAAGCAATGAGCAGGCTAATAGCTGCAGAATGAAACAATCATGACATATCATCACCCATGATGTCATTAATGAGCACAATGGTTCATAATATTTTGTTTGGATCAAAATTGTGTCTGTTCCCCACCTTCCACACCTGCCCCCCTTCTTCTTCTGCTTGCCTGGTGGAACTTGGAAGTCCATTATTCAAAGCATTCTTTGATTCCCCCCCCTCTTTCTGCTTCAACTCTTTCCCAGTGGAAGCTCCATTGAGTAGCAGGATGGTTGACAACATCTCAGAACAAGAAACATCTTCTTTCACCTCATTGCTGTGTTTCCTTTCTGCTTCTTCTCTTGTCGTATCAGAACTCCTCGGAAGTTCCTTATTCAAATCAATTTTTGATTTTTTTTCCCTTTTCTGTTCCTGCTCTTTGGCATAGGAAGCCCCATCGTACATAATCATTGATGCGCAGAGTGGTTGACAATGTCGTGGAGTAAGAAACTTCCTGGGTTACCCGGTTACCCCATTGTTTTGTTTCCTTTCTGCTTCTTCTCTTGTTGCATCAGAACTCAGAAGCTCATTGGTCAAACTGTGAAATGGTATACAAATATTGTTTATTTAGTCCACAGCATTGACATGTGCAAGTGTATATGCCTTTATGATTGATAATCATACCTGAGAATGCCAATGTATGGAACGAGCTCCTCTGGCAGCCTTTCCAAGCTGAAAAGCATATCGATGTAAACCACGCCATTTGTGAAGGCTTTGGTTTGAAAAAGGTTCACCGAAGCTAGAGTCCTGACCTGCAGGGTGGCAACCGAAAGAGAGGCACATAATATGAACACTGCCCTGCTGCAATATTGATTCATTCTTTTTTCCCCAAAGACAGGTGCATTCAGAAAGGAAGGTTTTTGCAAAGGTGGTCACTCAGGTCAGATTAGCGAACGTCACCTGCTTGGAGTTTTTGTGCAAAGGTGGCACATTATGTAGACCATGTGTTCCTGCTCAGTGAGAAACCCTGGTTCCCTCACTATCAAGTCCTCTTCTGTCCACTCATTGATACGACATGGTTCATTCCTCGCCTTTTCTCCCATCTGCCATATCATCTCCCGTTCCTGCTTATAATACGAGTCCTTCTCTTCAGTTACGAGCATGGGAACAGTACCACCTTTTCGAGCCCTGTTTGAGCCCACCCCTAAAAGAGACCAGCCCGCCATCTGGGCTTGGGGAGCTTGCGGTCCTCCCACCCGTGTCGGCGGCTGGTAAACGAGCTCCACTTCTCCTCCCTCCGAGCTCTCCATACTCTCTCCCTCAATGCCTGCACAGCATCTGGGTCCTGGTGGGAGGGAGGAGAAAAGCCAGAGAATGTGTTACACTTTCTTACTCTTCTAGTGGAGGAGAACTTACCCTTCGATAGGCTGCTAGGCAGGGTTGTCAGACCGCATATGGCCGACCGTAGGCCGTCGGCTCGCATAACAGTCGTGGCGACCTGTAGACAGTCTGCCGACCAGTCTGTAGAGGGCCATCCGCTGATTTTGTTTCAAATCTGAGTTCAGGGCTGTACTGCGCTTGCTCGGTACAGCCCAAATCCGCTGAGAAACTTTTGGGGATGGTGGGGGAGTACAGGGGGTTATGGGGGAGGTATGGGGGGTTATTGGGGGATTATAGGGGGGTTATAGGGGGTTGGGGGGTGGGGGGTGGGCGGAGGAGGTATGAGGGTGTTGGGAGGCGGTATGGGGGTGTTGGGGGGGTGTATGGATGTGTTGGGGGGAGGTATGGGGGTGTTGATGGGGATATTGGGGGTGCTGGACCCAAAAAAAAAAGAGTCTTTTTTTTCTCTTTGCCGGGTGCTGACGGACCGCCGACCACTAGGTGCCGACCAGTGGAACTGTCGACTGGTTGGCCCCTGACCAATCCAGGGGTGCTGACCGTCAGCATGACTACTCTGCTGCCAGGCATGGATTGGGGAAATGCCACAAATGATGACATCAAAATGGGAACCAGGGAGTATTAGCTAGCGAGTGATAATGGGAGTAAGAAGAGGGACTGCCTATTCCATGAGTTAGGAAAAAACTCCTCACTATATGTGTGCTGCACGAGTGCACACACTTTCTCCAAATATGTAGTGATGAAAGAAATGGTAGATCGTCTTAAAGACAAGGACCAGACTGGTACCTTAGAAGACAAAGCAGATGAAGTACCACCCTGATTAATATTAATACTCAGTGAGCGTGCATATTTAGAGGGGGCACCTAGCAAGATTGCCAAGAGAGAGATTGAAGACCGGATTGAGATTGAGCCCAGTAGACGTCAAAAGGGCACATTTGATAGGATGTCTCTTGCAGAACTCGAAAAATTATGCAAACAATTACACGAATTAGTAAGAAGGGGTGGATAAAGCCTAACTCATCTCCGTACAGTGCGCCTGTTCTGTTCGTAGTGGCGAAGAAAGGCAGGTTACAACTATGTACATACTCAAGGTTTTTATTTTTTTGTGTGAAACATTGACGACGGGTTTGGGGGGGGTTCTGATACGTCTAGGGGAGATCATGGTTTGGCTAACTCGCGCATCGACCTCACACTCGTGTCAAAGGACTTCGTTGGGCTGATCACTACTGCAGAAAGAGCTACCATCAGCCCCTGCAAGTCCTTCAACCACAGGCTGATAACACCTGGCCTTTCCTTCCACGGTCACATTCACAGGGGGCCGGGATTTCATCATACTGTAAACTTAGTATAAAGGTTTGAACGCTATGAAGAGTGCAAGCTTCAAAGTATAGTGCGGCCATTCTGTTCATAGAAGAAAAGGCAAGTTACAACTTACAACTATGTACATACTATAATGATTTGAACTTTGAACACTACGAAGAGTGCCGAACCATTACCACATATAGATGATACATTAGGCAGTTTACAGGTCTATAAGTAGTTCTCAGAAATAGATATGAAATCCGGGTATTGGAGTAGCAAAAGAAGATCAACATAAGACTACTTTATATAAGCGGTTTAGATACTACGAGTTTACCGTGACGCCTTCCGGATTGACAAACATCCCTACGACTTTTCAACAGTGTATAAATGATTTGTTTCAAGGATCAGTTTTTATGCCTTTCATATTGACAAACACCTCCACGGCTTTCCTTTTCTTTTCTTTTTCTTCCTTTTTTTCCCCTTAAACCACCAGTAGTTGGCCCAGCTGTCGGCCGCGGGAAAAATAGAGTAGAAAATTACTAGAAATGTTTGTAGTCAGATGAATTTGGGCGCTCCTGTAGTGGCCCATACGTTTCCAAAAATGGTGGCTTCTTAACGGGCACGACTTTTGGAAGTACTTGTGACGGGGCTGAGGCAGAGCAGCGAGGTCGGGGAAGAGAGAGGGAGGGAGTGAGAGCACACACACACACACTCACTCAACTCGACACGGACTCGACACGACTCGATGGACACGGACACAAAGTGGCAAAGTGGCAAAATCGCAAAGTCGCAATCTTGGTTCCGTACACAATGTCGCCGCAAGTCACACTGAAGCACAAGCACTGAGGCCGAAAACTGCGTCCCCGAACTCAGCTTGAGTCCGGTCTTAAGTACCGGACTCAAGTTGAGTCCGAGGGCAAAAGTGCAATCGCCTCAGGGCTGAACTGAAAATCGAAGGTCTGAGCCTGGGCGCCAGAATGCCGGATGGCGCCAAGTACGATATCCGAAAGTGGTAGAGGTGGGATTTGAGAACGGGCGCCAACTGCAGAGGGCCCCAACAGTCAGGAACTGGAGATCAGAGACTCCAAAAAAAAAAAAGAATAGCAGCCTGGCGAGTGGTAACCCGTGGATCAGGGATTGAGCCCTGGCTGGGTCCGTAACACTATCCCCTCCCTCTGGAAGGCAACGTCCCGGCTGTCAAAGACCCAATGAACAACTGTGAAGGACGGGACGGGGCCGATCACTGGTCAGAAAAGGAAAGGGGGAGTCATGCAAGTAGCAGGGTAATCCTATGGGGGTTCGACAGGGATGAGGGAATCAATGTTCAAGTAACAGGGTAATCCTATTGAGGTTCTACAGGGATGAGGGAATCAATGCTCAAGTAACAGGGTAATCTTACTGAGGTTCTACAGGTAACCGGGAGGTCCTATTGGTGTTCTACAAGGTTGTAGGTTGTCAGGTTTGAGAAAGAAATAAAAATAAAAAATTGTTTGTTCAATACTCAAGTGCTGGGGTGTCTGAGGGGTCTGGGAAAACAACGTCTCAGGTCCGTAACAAAGTGTCAAAAGCGAAGAAATGTCTTGGGGAAGGTCTTGGAGGGTGTCACAGAAGTGGCGATGTGGAAACGGTCTTCAGCAGTTCCGTGATGTAGACGGCGAGGACTTCAGCTTGATTGTCGCAGTAGCAGGTTGCGTCCGGTACATGATCTGATGACGAGGTCTGATCTGGATAGCAGGTCGCAGACTGATCTTGATGTCCATGTCAGAGGTGCTGCTCCAGAAGTCTGCGAATCCAAGGTGCCGGCCAAAGGGAACAGCATGGTGGCCAACCAGCTGTCTTATCTCCTCGTACTGAGCTGCAGCATGCCATTGTCCTCGCGCGCTTGCCATTAGATCCATTATCRCCRGCGACGCGCAGGGGCCACATAGAGGACTTGGACAAGAGAGACAAGGATGTGGCGGAGGACAGATGGGAGAACGGGGCAAGGCGGAGGCAAGAGCGGATCAGACAGGGGGAGGGTTCAAAGGGCAAGGGCTTTGCCCCGTACAGGGGTCTGTGTAGAGCAGGAATGCGGGGTTTTGTCGGGGTCAAGGCGGGGTTTATGCAAGGGTTTAGGGTTTGAGTTATATTATGTATCTAGGATATAGGGTGAGCACGATCATCGGCATGAACAAGTTTCATAGCATTCTTAAGGTTAGGAAGAGGTTCCCATGTGGATCCTTCGTCAGGGTATCCGGTCCATTTAACTTTGTATTCTGTGATTGGTTCCGGATGGTCTGATACTTGTGTGGTTCGTCGACCTATGATAGATTCCACTACGAATTTTGGGCCTGTGGGAAGCATGATTGGTGGAGGTCTGGGGTAAGGGCGGGCAGCGAATTGGGGAGGGGATTCATGGTATTCTTTTAAGTATTCTACGTGGAAGACAGGGTGGACACGACTCGTGTCAGGACGGAGTTGGAGCTTGTAATTGACGTGGGAGGTTTGTTCAATGATGGGGAAGGGACCGAGCCATTTGTTCGAGAGTTTCTTGGACAAGCCGTGTTCGTGCGTTTGGCGGAGAGCCAGACTTTGTCCCCCACTTTGAATGTTACGTCTCGTCTGTGTTTGTTGGTCTTGTTGGCTTGTTGTTCTTGTGTTCGTTCAAGGGCTTCGATTGCTTCTCTGAGGAGTCTCTTCATTGTTGCTACCCATTCATTGAGAGAAGGGCAGGGGGTGGAGGGGTTGCGTTGTGAGGGGAGCAGGAAGTCGGTGGGCAAGTGCGGATGATAGCCAAGGTCAAGGTAGAACGGAGACATTTCAGTGGAAGGACAAACATCATTGCTGTAGGCGATCTCGGAGGCGGTGAGCAACTGATCCCAATCGTGTTGATGTGAATGACAACACTTCCGCAAGATTCTTGGAGAGTATCGTTCATCTTCTCGGTTTGTCCATCGGTCTGTGGGTGGAATGCGGTGCTATACTTGAGCGTGGTTCCGTAGGCTTTAAAGAGGTGTTTTCAAAATTGTGAAAGGAAGCGAGGGTCACGGTCGCTGATGATATTCTCGGGGAGACCGTGGTGGCGTGCGACATGGTCGAAGAAGAGAATGGCGACGTCCTTGGCGTTGTGCGA